GGGGCAGACAAGACTGGCACACAGAGCTCTTGGTGGTGTTGGTGCTGCAGGTTGAGACTACTGCATGAGTGTGGAGCTGGGAGAGGGAAGAAGGACTAGACGGGGTACTTAGATGATACTTACTGGAGGGGATAGAATTTTGGCTGGGCTTGGAAAGCTGGGTATGAGTTCAATAGGCAGGTGATCAAATACAGACTCATTCTGGGAAGGAGAGTCATGATCAAGGAAATGACAGACGTTGATAACGGCCACAGGCCATTTATATGCCTTGTTTGATCCTCTTAGGGACCCTCTTGAGGTAGGTTTTATTATTGTTTCTAAATTATAAGGGAGAAACCAGAGGCTGAGTATCTTACCCAGTGTCAGACTGCTAGTAAATGACAAAAGTAGGATTTGAACCCAGGTTCCTAGGCTCTGAGCCATTATCTATATTGATTTCCTAAAAGCAGGATGTGCAGGAGATGCATCTGTGATTACACTGGTTCATTGCTTCATTTATCCAGTGAACAATTTCTGAGCCCCTACTACATTCCCAGCCACTCTTGGATGTAGGGATGGAAATGAGAGGAAGGTCCCTCTCCCCCCTATGGGGCTTCAGTATAGAGGGAAGAGGACACAGAAGAAAGTAATTATAACGCAGCTGGTTCTCTGCCAGAGGCATGTCAGGGTACCATGCTGGCCCTTGGGCAGAAACAAGTAGCTGTGTGTGTTGGAGGAGTCACCGAAGACATTCCAGTGTGGAAGGGTGAGAGCTGGGTGCTGAGGGGGAAGGAGGAACTTGTCAGGAAGGCATTCCAGCAGAGGGACCTGCAGCCGGGGTGGGCGGATGAGGAAGCCAGCCCCGCTGCAGCCGAAGGCGAGCTGGCCAGAGGTGGACACTTGGGGCCTGGGTGATACTGGAGGCTGGTGGAGTCTCATCTGTAGTGTGCCAGGAGGACAGTGCACTGCAGCCCCATGGACTCCTGCTGACAGAGGCCTGGCAGCAAGCGGCCTTGCTTTCTCAGGCTGCCCAGCACTTCCTGAATAATCTGTGGCTGGGCTTGACATTGCCAGTGAAGGTTCATAGGCAGCTTCCTTGTCCCACACTGGGTCCCTGCTCTGCTGAGCTAAGCCTCTGCTCTGCTGAGCTGAGCAGCCTTGTCCAGTGACAAGCAGCCATATGGGCACCTGGAGGGAACACTAGGCCAGGGCCCAGCAGACTTGGACTCTGATCCTTGATCAGCAGCCTTGGCAGGTTCTTGACCTCTCGGGCTTGCTCTGCAACATGAGGGGACTCAGTGGCCCGAGGTCCTTTTCAGCCCCGACACTGTGAGTCTGGGGGTTGAGTGGGTTGGGAAGCGGGAAGCAGAAGATAAGGGAGGGAGGAGGTGGGTCTGTGACAGGCATGTTCTTCAGCCTGTGCAGGTGATTCAGTAGGGACTCAGAAAAGTTTCCAGGGGTGACTATTGTCAATACTGCATCCCAGAAAGGAGACAACAGACATAGCTATCATTCTCTGAATCTCAGCTCCTTACGTGACCATCTCTGAACCCTCAGGACAACTCTGTGCCGTGGCGGGTGTTGTTCTGTTTTACAGATGGGAAACTAAGGCTCCAAGAGATCCATTGATTTTGCCCAGGTTTTCCTGTGAGTGGCAGAGTTGGGATTTGAACCCAGACCTGCGTGACTCTAAGTTCTGGCCATTTACACCTTACTGCATAGGCCCCAGAGGCTGCCTTCATCCTGCAGGGGTTCCTGGACATGCTGCGCCGGGGATTACCCACTGACATGGGTCCCACCTGGAGGACCAGCTGCCAGGTTGGCACCATAGCAGACACCTCTGGCCAGATCCACTGGGACGTGAAGGGGCACGCTGGCCTCTCCCACAGCTGCCTGGTGGGCTGAGCTGGGTGGGTTTGTTTTGACAGGTGAGGCCAGTTTCACCTCCTGGTAGCAGGTTCATGCGCACCTATGGGAACGTGATCCCTCCCTCCGGGTGTGCTTTGGCAGTGACATCAGGTATGTGGGTGAAGCATGTGGTTGAAGTAAATGAAGCTGGAGGAGAATGACAGGAGCAAGAGCATATGGGTAGGACTGTACTATCCTAGAGGCCTAGAGGCCTGTGGTTGCAGCTGCCTGTTCTTCCTTCCTGACCTGGGGCTGGGACACCGGGGCCTTTGCATGTCCTGCCTTCGGGCCCAGAGCAGTAGAAATTTGGGATGTGGGCCCACAGCCAGCTTAAAAGTTTGTGCCACTTTGCAATCGCAGAGCCTAGAGCTCAAAAAGGCTTTGTGTCATCCATTGTCTATCTTAGAGTTGGGGGCTGAGGCCCAGAGACAGGAAGCCACGTGCTCTTAAGCTCATGCAGCCTCACACAGCCTCACAGAGCCATGGGTGGTAGAGCTGAAGGTAGAGTTTCTCAGCGCCTAGGCTTCAGCTCTTTTCTACCACCCTACCCTGTTTGGGGAGCAGGGAAGCAAAGGAGCTTAGACCAAACCCTGGGTTGGGGGGACTGCTACCCTTGGGGGCCCCCCCCGAGTCCTTTTTCCCGCCTGACCCAGCTCTATGGCAGCTCTGTGGGGGGGGGCACCCTCGGGTGTTTCTAGACCACTGGCCCCCAGTTCTTTCAATTCATGTCAGCAAATTTTAATGAAACATGTAGTATGCAGGATACCATAGGGGATGCCAGAGTCCTTGAAACTGATTCAAATTTTCTAAGGGAGACCACCATGCAGGAAAGTGGCATCACAATACGAGAGAGAGCCTACAAGAACCACTCTCTGGTCACACCGAAGGGTTTAGAGCACAAGGTCAGGGAATGTTTCATTGGAAAGTAAGGGAGTAAAAGGAGGCAGGGATGTGGACACAGGCTCTGAAAGTGTGAAGAAGAGTAGAGTAGACAAGGTGTGGGAGGCAAGGGGAAGAGCCAGCGCAAAGGAGGGAATTGAGGCATTGTTCTGGGCATGGTAGCAGTGCTCTGAGGGGTTGGGGGCAGGTGCAGGCTAGTGATGCACAGTGAGGCTGGGAAGGCAGCACAGGGCAGCTGGTGCAGAGCCTGGGATGTCTCAGCTACCAGACAGGGCACTTGGGCTTTCTCTGATGGTCAGTGGGAAGATGTCTAACCCAACTGGGTGATGAAGTGAAAAGAGCCAGGCCTGGACTGCCTGGGAAGTTCACCCTGACTCTGCTATTATGAGCTGTTGGACCTCAGGCAAATGCTTTAGCTCTCTGAGCCTCTGTTTTCTCATCTGCGAAATGGGGTTGATAATAGTACCTACCAATCGGGGTGGCCACAAGGATGATGTAGAGCACTAGTGCACTGCTTCCCTTGGTAAAAGCTGGATAAACGTCATTCCCTGGGTTGCCTCCTGGGTATCATCAGGCTATTAGTGAAGGCTGGGAGAGCAAGAAGGAAGTCCTTCTGAAAGCAAGAGTAACTTCTTATATGGGGTCCAAATCCCCTGGCCAGCCTTGAGCCATCTTGGTGGCCTGGGAAGGAAGCAGGAAGCATTGATGGCCATGGTCTCTGTGTTCCTCCCATCAGGGCAGGACAGGACCTGAAGGTGTGTATGGCCCAAATGGTCCAATGTGTGGGTGCTGAGGTGGGGACAAGAACCCAGTGAATTCTCCAGTGGTCAGGTTGCAGATGAAGAGCTTCTACTCGGCCAGGCCCAGGATTAAGGACTTCTTGTCCTCTGTCACGGTGTGTGCAGCAGTGGGGAAGGGTCGCTACGGCCACGGGGGTGGAGGCGGTGAGGAGCACGGAGGCGCGTCCTGGCTCCAGCGGTGCAGACCTGCAGCCCTGGCAATTGCGACAGAAGGTGGGACAGCCAAGGACACCTCACTGCTGTGGTCACGCAAGCCGCCGACGGCCCTGTCAGGCAGGGATGCTGCTGAGGCTGCGGAGCCACACACCTCTGCCTGCCGCAGCCAATCCCTGCTCTGCTGCCGCTGCCACTGCCGCTGCCTCCCTTTTTATTTTTATTTTTTCCTTTTGCCTTCATTCGTCTTTATAGCTGAATAGTATCCCTCTGTATGGATATACCACATTTTGTTTATCTGCTCATCAGTTGGTGGATATTTGTATTGTGTTCACTTTGGGACTCATAAATGTGCTGCTGTGACTTTTGTGTGCAAGTGTTTGGATGGATGTATGTTTTCAGGACATTCCACTCTCCGTGGAGCCTGGGAGAGCGGTGGTGGGGAGTGGGAAGAAAGGGGGTGACGCCCAGGGACCTGCTTGCCCACTGGGTACCCGGAGCAGCTGGGTGTGAGTGAGAAGGGCAGGCTGAGGATCCCGTTCTAGCCTCACTTGGAGCCCGGGGTGTGTGAGGCCAGGGCTGTTCTCAGACCACCACACGCCCACACTGTTATGTCAGATTTGGCAGTTGTTTTTTGGGAATAGCCTAGACAGCTGGTATTTTCCCTGGAAATCAGGTGCACTTTTTCCTGTGCCCTACTGAGGGCTAAAATTAGACAGACACATAGAGAAGCATGAGCCACCCCGATAGTCTAGTCTAGAGGAGAAGAGTGTTGTCAACAGGAAGCTGGCTGGCCAGGGGCAAGAGGTGGTCAGGAAGAGGAAGGTCAACAAGCCGCACGTAAGCCAAGGCTTGGCTGTGATGCTCCTACCCCCATCACATTCGCACAGAGCAGTGGTTTTGTTGATAGGAAATGCGGGTATCTCTCTGGTGCCTTTTGGCAGCTGGGGAAACAGAGGCCCTGCATTGAAGGAATCTGCTGTTAAGGCACAAAGGGGATTGAAGTCAGTTTCCAGTTCTGTGAGCAGCAGGAGTGACAGGTTTGGTGAAACCCAGACCTTGTCCTCGGTGCTGTGCTAGTTTTTGAGCTCACAGGAGAAGACCGAGGACATAAAAACAAGAGAGAGTTTATGTTGCTTTAGTCTCCAAAAAAAGAACACCAAACCGCACCCCAGCTCCAAAGCAAAAACACAATACAGGGCTTTAATTACCATCTTTTCTTTTCTCCCCCGCCCCTTTTTTTTTCTTTTTGTTCTCCAGCCAGAAAACATTATGCTATTAGACAAGAATATTCCCATTCCACACATCAAGCTGATTGACTTTGGCCTGGCTCACGAAATAGAAGATGGAGTTGAATTTAAGAACATTTTTGGCACACCAGAATTTGTTGGTGAGTGTTGGGGCTATTTCTTTCCCAGCTAAGAATCTGGGATCAAAAGGTAAAGAAATCCCAGTAAAAAACCCTGTGTCTGGGGCTGTGGCCTGAAAGATGATGCCTTGGAGACCCCCTAGAAACCTACTGTGTGGGGAAGGAAATGTGGTGCTGGGCCTTTGGGTAAGGGTCCAGGGCTGGCTTTGAGTGCCCACTGGGGCTTAGGAAGGCCAGGTGGGGCTAGCAGCCTTCGCAGAGTTAAACCTTCCCAGAGCAGGTGCCACCTCCTGCTTTTAGTTGAGTTTGTTGTGAACATTTAAAATTACCTCACCCTCTTGCATTCCTGTAAATTCAACTTTCTTTGGAGTAGCTTTCGATTTCCTGGAAAGAAAAAAGGAAATCATCTGCTGGATGCCAGATCCTCCCACTCACCTCCCTTGTATGCCTGTCCTTCATTTATGCATGGGAGGTCCACCTGCAGCAGGGCACCGGTGGCCCTCTCTTCCTCTGTTTCTCTCACCCTTGGCCCAGACCCCAGAAACCTTCTCATGGGGCTTGGGCTGCAGGGTGGGGTCTCATAAAGAAACAGCCTTGCAAAGGGGAAAGGAATGAGAACTGAGAACCACTGTCTCTCTGCTTCAGGACTTGGAGTGCCTCTGAAAATGGAGGGAGGGCGTGGTCTTCTCAAAACCCAGGGGCGGAAACTTCTAACCACAGTCTAAACAAAAAAGGGAGACAGTGTGTCAGATCGTTCACTCTGACGGGTTTTCAGGCTACGCATACAAACTCTGCAGCCGCTGTGGAATGCTGCTGCAGAGGGCCCACTGGCACGGGACCCTTACAGGTGCCCAGTACTATCTATGGCTTGTGCTCTGCAGACATTATCTCAGTTAATCTTCAAACTACATAATGAAACACGTTTAAATATTTCCCCTGTCAAGAGCTTTGTTCAGGGCAAAACGAGGGTAGAGCTGAGATTCAAATACAGATATGTCCAACATCAAAGCCTGTGCTCTTCCCGTTACACTGGTCTGTCTCTCTGAGGAGACCCTGCCCCAAGGAGCTTACAGTTTGTGGAAGCAACACAGCAAGCCAACAAATAAGAGTGCTGGAAGGCTCTTTGCAGATCGTCTGGTCTAGTTTAACAAATGTGGAACTGGAAGGCTGGAGGATTTCAGTTAAGATCAACCAATGGTTGGTTATTCTTCACCTTCTGTATGAAAGCTATTAGGCGAGGTACTAGAGATAGACATAGTGATGGTAAAGAGCCACATTCAGAGTGACATACGAAGCCACACAATGAGTTGGGGACAAAGCCACCTTGAACCTGGGGCATAAGACATCTGTTATTGAACTTGTTTGAGACAGCAGTTGCTGCCCACCATTCATGTATATAGTAAAGATGTATATGTTTATTTAGTTAAGTCATACCAAGTGTCAAACAACAGTAATGGTTCAATTAGAAATTCAGGGCAATGATGGGCCACAAGACAGGATGTGATTACTTGTAAAGAGAGTAATATAGGCAGCCCTCAAAGGCTGTTCAAACAAGATATCTATCCTAGCAAAGTCAGTGGGATAAGCTATGACCTTGAATCAGTGAGGGACAGGGCTGTTGTGTGTGGGAGAAGTGTCTGAAGAGGGGCGGGGAAGGAGCCAGGGTAGAGGAGGAGCAGCTCCCAGGTTTAGTCATCCATAGCAGGGGAATAGGCCCAGAAGTAGTACATTTGTTGGGGACAATGCACTGTTGACTCTGGATGGAGCAGAGAGTCCACACAGACTGGTTGTGTGAGTGGGATATTAATGAGTAGGGCCAGACTCTGGACAGTTTTGCCCAATGGTATGGTGGTAAATGTCTAACAACTGGGTCTCAGAACAAAACCCTAATTTATAGTATTTCCAGTTTCAAACTCCCAACATGTTATCACTGAATTCAGAGCTGGGAAGAGGTGTACACAGTTAACTTTTGTGAGCCAGCTCCAGCCCAAACTGGTTTTCTTTGTCCCCTACAGATATATAGAGTAGCTTCTTTAAGGCCCTACCCAAACTATGATGACTATCTTTGCCCAAGACTGCTTAGAAACAGGTCATAACCATTTTCCTTACTCCCACCATTTCTTGGAAATTCCCAACCTGAGATCCAGGGTTAAAAATTTGCTGTCAGCTTGCAGTAGTGTGGTGTACCTGGTCTTCCAAAGGCCCTCCCACTAAAAAACTGGGTTCTTAGAAAATATTCTTTTTAAAGCAATTCTGGACATACAGGAAATGAGTAAGGGTAGTAATTCCTTCAGCATCATCTTCCCCATGCCCAAATGCCAAGGAAATGAACTTAGAGCTGGAGCTGTGGGCAGCAAGAAAATCCAGTAGAAGAACTCTCCTAAAGGCAAGTCCACATATCAGCATTTTGGTCAGAGGCTGGCAATATTTAGATAATCAAAGACATAAGATATTGAAATGATCAGATGTTGACTATAAAATAAATGAAATGCATATAGAAATAAAAGAAAGAATCACAAGAATGAGCAAGCAACAAGAGAGTTTCCAAAAAGTACCAGATAGAACTTTAAGAAATTCAGTATATACTGGTAGAAACTTAAAACTCAGTAACTGAGCTGAACAGCAGATTACACACTGCTGAGGAGAGTGTTGAAGAATTGAAACACTGAACTGGAAAAAATTAGCTAGAGTGACAGACATAGAAATATGAGAGGGTAAGCAAATGAGGATAAAAAAAGACCACCTACCATAGGTCTGTTTGGAGGCTCAGAGGAAAGAATAAAAACACTAGAGAGGCAACATTTGAAAAATCTGGCTAAGAATTTTCAGAACTGATGTAAAAACATCAGATTCTGAGAGGACAATGTATATCAAACAGAAAAAAAAAAAATCCATACTTAGCCATATTATAGTTAAACTCTAGGGTATCAAAGACAAACAGAAGAATTTAAAAGCAGCCAGAGAGAAAAGATAGGTTATCTACAAAACAAACAAACAGAAATTAGACTGACAGCATACTTCTCAAAACAACAATGGAAGTCAATATTCAATAGAATATTATCTTCAAAGAGCTAAGAGGGGAAAAAACGTAATTGTGTACCAAGGTAAATTACATTTCAAGAATGAGGATAAAAGATTCAGGAAAACAAAGCAAAATGAACAAACAAAAAAATAACAACAAAAACAAAACAAATAATCAAACATCAACAGGCCTTTTAAAATGAAATTTCTAAAAGATGTAGTTATAAATTAAGGAAAATAACTTCTGAAGGGACGTCTCAATGTAAGAAGTAATATGAGCAAAGAAATCAGTAAATATTAGGCAAATGTAAACATTTTCTGTTAAAAATAATCAAGTTTTAATTGTGAAAATAAAAAAGAATAAAACTAAAAACTGAAGAAAATAATGTTAGGACAGAATGCTTGAAATTAAGGTCTCGTTTTGTTACAGGAGGTTCAAAGTGTTGACTTATGTTAGACTTGTCACGTAGACATAGTGAAGTCTTAAGGGCAGTGATTACAAAAATATAAGTTGAGTGAAAAAACAATATGAAAACTAAAAGAAACAAGGAAAAAGAAAAGCACAGAAAAATGGACAAACAAAAGCGCATAGAGGACAATAATGTGTATATAAGTATATTGAGCAGATAAGTACTGGAAAGTCAGTTGTGCTTCTCAAACTCTCTATGGTAAAAATCTTAAAAAATTTTTTTTTCGTTCTGTGCTGGATTGCTTCTTCAGTAAGAACCAAGAAAAATAAATTTCTAGATAAATTATGACAGTTTGAATGTCATGGCAATGTCATATTTCTGTATTAGTCTCTAAATGCATACTCCCAATTTCTGTACCTATCTCATCTGGACCAGTGACAATTAGCAGACTATTTGTCTGTGGACCACACTTTGACTATCACTCTTCTAGTTAAAGCCTTTCATGTGTGTGCCAGGTGACATGTACAAAAAAAATTTGTAGAAATGTTCCAATAATAAAAGAAGTAGAAACGGTCCAAATGATCACTGAGAAGAGAATAACTAAAAGATGATATATGTATATTCACACAATGGACTATTAAATAGCAGTGAAAATGAAAGATCATGGATGAACATTCAATGAACACTAGAAGCATAATGCTGAATGAGGGGAAAAACATCAAGTGACAGTAGATCACATGCAGTATGACATCATTTTTATGAAGCTAAAAAATAAGCTAAGCCAGGAGAGTGATTCCTTGTATCTGGAAGCGGAGAGGTGGGAGGGTGGGAGGGTGGGCAGGCACACCCTGTGAATGCAGTGCTTTTGATACTGTGTTAGACCAACAAACTTAGCCTTGCCCACTCCCCACCGTATTCCATCAGTGGTGAAACAGGCTCAGTCCTTCTCCCTTCCCTAGCCTCTGCTCTCTCTTTCTCCTCCATCTCATAGCCAAGCTTTTGGAAAGAGTTTGAATAAGTTGTCTACACTCTTATTTCCACTTCCCAAATCAGGGCATTCCCTGGTCACCACAGTGAGTGTGAAATTCAATACTCACTTCCCAGTGTTTGTCTGCTTGGTCTCTGGGCTGCATTTGGTCTCCTTCTCTTCTCAGTAGAGTCTTCTTTCCTAGACTCTGCACCTTCTTCTGGTGACATCATTTGTACAATTCCTGTTTCCACCTATATGATGACTCCAAACTTGATGACTCTGGCCCACTCCCCAATACCCAGCTTTTTCCTGGTCACCTTCCCCTGATGCCCCTCAGGCACCTCAAACCCATCATCTGGACCCCAGAATGTCTTCCTGCTCCTCAGGTGGGAGGTACCCTTTTTCAGGCCAGACTCAGAAGACTGTGGATTCCTTCTCTGCCAACTTCTCCATCACCTTCCAGTGCTTACCAGACTGGTTTCCACCAGAGAATTCTAAAGTAGGCCTTGTCACTAAGCCCCATTGTCCCTTCTTGTATCTTCTTCTCTCCACCCTCCTCTTCCTCTTCCTTTTCCAGACATTCCTATGTGCTTCCCCTCATCCTCACTATCAAGGCTTCTTTGCAAAAAGTTTCTACCAATGTAACAGGCAACTAACTTCTTCAAAATTTTTAGAATGATATTATCTCCTTCCTTTGCTCTGATATTTTTGTGTGTGTGTTAGAGGGGAATCCAGGATGGAGACATTTGGCATTAAACTCCCTAAAATTCGCCACAGCTGTCTCTTGCATTTTCATACTCCTGCTGACTGTTCAATATGGCTTCTTTCAGCTCCAGAAATTGTGAACTATGAGCCCTTGGGCCTGGAGGCTGACATGTGGTAAGTTGTGTAGGCCACCTAGGTGGTCTGGGGACCCTTCCAAGGGCAGAAGGCCTCAGACCCTGGCTCTGGCTGATAGCCCTCTTGAAGAGGAACACCTTCAATCCACACGCACCTTTCAGAGACTCTGGCTGCTCTGGGTGTTCTGGGTCTGGGGCCGGGGCAGCTGGAGGCAGCCAGGCCTGGACCTGAGACCAGTTAGAACAGAGAAGAGGTGGAGAGCAAGGGGAGGGCTGAGGACGGAGGTACAGGATCCCCTCTGAAGCCTGCCACAGCCGTGGTCAAGATAATGTAACAACAGCTCTTTCAGTCATTCAATCAAATGATCACTGAGAGCCTCACGTTCTAGGCCCTGTGGTGGGTCTGGGGATACCGCAGCGATTGATTCTCTGCCTAGACTGGCGTTATTTCATTTGAGCAGTGCTTTGTAGGTGGCTGAGCACCATGATTCAGTCGTTTTCTAAAATCCTCCCAGCAGTCCTCTGAGATAGTTATTATTGTCCTCGCTGTATGAGGAGAAAGAGGCTCAGAAGCGATAAGAGACTTGCCCCGATCAGAGCCTGCAAGGGCAGGGGTCTGATCTTGAGCTTGAGTCTTCAGGCTCAATGTCCAGAGTTTGATGACTCCAGCTGCCTCCCTGGGTGCTGCGGAAGGACGGGATGGAGAGGGCTGTGAGGCTTGAGATGGCATTCACAGGCCGCCATGGAAGGGCAAGTGGCCATTTCCCCTGAGAACCATGCAGGGATTCCCTTGCTGGTCTGGGATTAGGGCTAGGAGGCCATGATTGGACTGTTCTTTGTTTTGCAGGAGCATAGGCGTCATCACCTACATCCTGTGAGTACCCCTGATTCTGCATCCACCACCCAGCTTAGACCCGGGGGACTGAGAGGAGTGAGAGAAGGGCAAGCAGACAGGCAGGCTGACATTTCCTGAGCACCCACCGTGAACCAGATGTGTTCGATCCACACAGCGAACCTGAGGCTGAACCCTCTTAGCTCCATTTCACACATTTCACACATTTCACCCATGGGGCTTGGGCTGGGCAGGAACCCAGGAGAGCAGCCTCCATCTGCATCCCCACCGTGGCCAGGGATCCAGTGCGCAGCTTCAGCCACACCGGAGTGCTATGAGGCTGTCAGCTTTCACCCAGAAGCCTTGTGGCAGCTCTCAAGCTGCAGCCCCCCCACCAGCCCATCCTGCCTCCTCCTCTCCCTTTCTCCCCTCCTCTCCCAGCCTTGCATTCTCCCTCCTCCTTTCTCCCCAGAGTCTCTTTCCTGTTCCTGAAGTATTAAGTTGCTTAAGCAGAGATTTCCTGCACAGCTCTATGTGTAGTGGATCTGACACTTTCCATCTTTGTGGCCTTGGGCAGATTCTTAACCTCTTTCCGAGTCTGTTATTTTCATCAGCAAAATAAGAATCACCAATTTCCCACCAGGGGTGTGCTGTGAAGGTTAAATATGAGGAGGGACCCCCCCAAAACAGAAATTATTTATAAAAAATTGTGCTTTTAGTCTTCCATGTTTAAACTTCAGTCACCTTCAAAGCACTACTCTCCATTTGATGCAATACACCTATCAAGACTTTTTTCCACTGCTCAGAACAGTTTTTGAACTCATCAATTTTGATGTTTTTTAGTACTTTGGCTGTTTTTATTTCGCCCACATTGACAAAATGTTTCCCTTTGAAGGCTTTTTTCATCCAGAGAAACAAAAAAATAGTTGCTCAGGCTAGATTGGGTGAATAGGGAGGGTGGATCATGGGGCTCATGCCATTTTTGGGCAAAAACTGCTGAACACTCAGTGCGGTGTGGGCAGGTGAGCTCGTAAATCATCCATCATGAAGTGGGCAAACCCACTGAGTCTTAAAAAAAAATTCACTGAAGCCAAGTGTAGCCTCTCACAGCAATGCCAGCTGGTACACTGATACAGGTGGGTTCCTAGAACACTCTCTTACAGTGGGAAGGCTGTACTACAAGACCTGCCCTCACGAAGATAATTCCAGCTTTTTGGGGTCCCCCCTCATAAGCTGACGTGCAAATTTCTTAGCACTGCTCTGGCACATAGTACATGACTAATTAGTAGGTGTTCATTCCATTAGTGCTTCCCAAATGGTTTCTCCTCACAGCACACTTGGAAAATGCCACTTCTATGGCACATTGGGGAAGAGTCAGCCCACAGCCAGACTCAACAGCTGAGGAGATCATTTTCTTAACACCCCATAAACCAGTTTTCTGACCCTTCCAGCAGTACTTGGACTGGGAGCTCTGTATAATGTGGGGGACCCCCTTAAGCTGCAGCAGAAGGTCTAAATCCTGGCTGCCCACTAGACCTTTTAATACCAACCATGGTCCTGGCTCCACCCCGGATCTATTAATCTATCAGAATCTCTAGGGGTGGGATGTCTAGGGGATAAAAGCCCCGGACAAATTTGATGCAAAGACAGAGAATTAGATGCATTGCTCTATAGTTTCAAATCAAAGCCAGAATATTCAGACATTGGCTCTTGAAACTTTCATTTCTTCAGAACTCTGGTTCCCATTGAAATGTTGAAGAACTCCAGTGTGTACAAGGCACATAGTCTTCTCACAGCTAATTTGAGTTCCATACAGTTTCCTGAGTGCCTGCTCCATGGTGGGCATTGTGCCGGGCACTTGAGAGAGTTACATGATGGAGAGTCTGCCCTCCTTGTATGGAGCGCCCTGTGTTGGGGTGGCGTGAGGAACACCACCAGATAGCTAATTCTCACCTGGTGGGACCAAGGTCACAGTGGAGGTAGAACCATGCCTCTGTGAGATACAGTGGGAGAGGCAATGGCTGCTGGGGCTTCGGAAGGTTTAATGGGGTGGCAGGGAACAGGAAGAAAGAGGTCAATTGATTTGAACTGGACTATTTGGAATGAGGTTAATGCTCCAGGTATAAAGGGACGGAAGGGCTGCCCTGCTAAGAAAGGGAACAGTTAGCATGTTGAGTGTGGTGAAATGTACTGAGAATGTGGTAGGGACCAACTTCTCAGTACATTTGCCCGGGAATTTAGATGTGATCATATAGAGAATGGAGAATCATAGAAGGTTCTTTGTGTTCTAACAATGACTATAATAATGGCCATCAGTTCCAGAGCTTTAGCATGGGCCAAGATTGCATGAAACATTTTGTATATATTTACTCTTTACAACAACCATGTGAGGTGGGGACTTTCATTTTCTTCATTTTATAGGTGAGGAAACTGAAGGTCAGAGAGGTTGAGTCACTTACCTAGGTTCACCCAGGTAATGAGTGACAGAGCTAGGTTCAAACTCAAGACTGAAATACCAAGTATTTTCCAATGCACTGTGCTAAGAAAATGGCAGCGTGGGTGAGGATGACCTTCGAGAGATATTTGACCAACAAAACTTTCTGGCCGGTTAGATGAGGAGAGGAAATGGAAGGAAGAGTCAGAGGTGGTGACCCCTGTGTTTCCAGCTTGGATACATTTGTGAACTGACAATCATTAATCAGGGCAGGGAGCTAATGTTTGGGTACAGTGACTTCTGGGAAGATGGCACGTCTAGGTAGTCTTCACATAGTCCACTGACGGTAGATTCAGGAGTCACTATTAGAACGCCATCTCTTTGACAAACCCTTCAGGGCAACCTCACACCCTCTTCTGGTCCCTAATGACCCCTCTACTTCCACACCTGTCAGGCTTTGCTCAAATTGCTCCCTTAGTGACCTCTCATCTCCTTCTCTGACTGCTGACAAACTCCTCCTCCTTCAAGACACACTGATGCAAATGTCAACTCTCCTATGAAGCCTGCCCTGGGCCTCCCTCCTCCTGTGTTCCCACAGTCCTTTGTCTGTCCTTCTATTATATTCTGCTTTGTTCTGCTGTGTTTCTCTCCCCTCCTTTTATGAGTCTCTTGAAGACACTGTTTCTCTCTCTTGAGTGCTTAGTAGGAGCTCCATAAAGTCTATTGAACTGGACTCAGTTCAAAAGGCTGCTGACTGGCTACGCAGAGGGGTCAGGCAGTATTGCTGGGAGCCTCCCAACCCCTTGCAACAGTATGAATCAGGGTTCCCTGAGTCCATCTTCCCCACTGCTGTCTACTTCCCTGTAATCACGTATTCTCTCTCTGTGTGCTCAGCCTAAGTGGAGCATCCCCTTTTCTGGGAGACACGAAGCAGGAAACGCTGGCAAATATCACAGCAGTGAGTTATGACTTTGATGAGGAATTCTTCAGCCAGACCAGCGAGCTGGCCAAGGACTTCATTCGGAAGCTTCTGGTTAAAGAGACCAGGTAAGAGGACAGAGAAAGACATGGGCTTCTCAGGTCACTGACCTGCTCCTGTTGCCTTTCCTTGAGACATGTCAGTCTGTCCCCACTTTGTCACAGGTTGTCATCTGCCCTATCATGGTCTCAGCTGGGCAGGTGCTGAGAAGTGTGGATTGGCATTCATCTTGTTTGCTCGAGTCTTTCTGCTTTTTTTCCCTGCTGAAATGCAAATAACACTATATGTGTGTGATGTGTGTGTCTGTGTGGAAGTCAGCCTGAGTTTCTCTAGGGCTCATTATCTTGTACAATCTGGCACCTGGAACTAGAATTTGAAAAGGAAGGCAGCAGTTTTTGAGCCAATTCAGGTGGGAGTTGACGATGTGAGCTCAGAGAGGCCAATATGTGAGAGAATAAGGGACATGATAATCCTACCCCTTCCTCAGGACCCAGGGTGAGCTCTGAGGCTGTGGGATCACAACAGATGGTGGGCAGGGAATTGTAGGGTATTGGGTGCCCAGAGCATGGCCTAGTTGGGGCAGGAAAGTCTCGCAGACTCTAGAAGGTTATGTCTTCTTGGTCCTACAGATTTCAGAGGGAGCTAGAGTGGGGCCCTCTCCAGTACAGGAGCCGGATTTCTCCCTCCAGGGCCAGCACTAGGCAGGATCAAAGGGCAGAGCAGAGGAGGGATCTGGGAGACAAACAGAAAAACAGAGACCAAAGATTTAACAATGCAAAGCTGGAAGCTCAAAAGAGTGCTTATGGCTCTCATACGGTGTGGCGTCAGGCCCGTTCACATTGGAACCAAGATGAGCGCTATGTGATGTCACTCTGTAGAGAGGTCTGCCTGGGCCATTTTCTCTGGAGCGCAGAGAATTCAGCCAGCTCCCCTGCGCCCCATCTCTGCATCCTCCAACATTCCGGGTTGATGGCAGTGATCAAAGAATGCCAAAATGCAGGTCTGAGAACAGTGAGAATGAAGCCCTTTGTTCTCAGCGTCTGTCCTCATGATTCATTGCAGTTTCTGATCCTCATTGCAGGAAACGGCTCACAATCCAAGAGGCCCTCAGACACCCCTGGATCACGGTAAGAGCACAGTGGTGAGTTCCAGGCGGTAGGAAGGTCTCTGCTCTGTCTCCAGGGCTGGCTGGGGTGGCCACATGCAGAGGGCCCCCGGCAAGGCCTTTGCTTGAAATGCTAACCCATGGGCACAGATGAAAGCTAGTTGGGGGCCCCGAATGTTCTGGGGCTCTTTCAAATAAGTTTATAGGTTTAAGTTTATATTTCATGCATTCCGGTGACTTATGACATGCAACCTTCACAAACCTCAGTTGTAACCCTTTTTGTTTGGGGTCATCTTACAAAGTGTCCTTTGTCGTATGCTATGTCACTGTCATTCTCAAAGCAGAAATCAGGACTCCCCAGGTGTAGAAAGAGGTTGATGACAACGGAAAATCTCAACTTTGTCACCAGGGCTCCTTCTGGGTTTTGGGGCTCTGAGTTACGGATGACACCTAAAGCGGTCACCTGGCTTTCTCAGGCTCCATGAGCCCTCCTGGAATGGGGCTGAGGTGGGGGCCTGGTCCGGGAGAGAGGCAGCCGCTATCTTAGGGCAATTCTGTTCCCTCCGGGGAGGGCAGGTGCACAAAGGTGACTACCTGCCTAAACTGCTTTATAGTTGCGCTTCCAGCTGCTGGTTTGCTGGAAGGTCTTGTGGTCTAGTCACAGCAAAGTGCTGTGAAAAGTCCTTTAGGAGGGTGGGAATCAGGAGACTGGGGCTTTGGCCCTACTAGTTCTGTTAACTGAGCAGGTGTGCACTCCAGGGACATAGCCGGACTTCCCACTCACTCTAACTGTTAAATGAAAGAGCTGGCGAGGATGATCTGAGGGTACAGATGAGAAGGGATAGAGGCCTATGGAAGGTGGGGAGTGGGGAGGGCTGGAGGGCTCCAGAAAAAGCCAGGTTCCTTTGCTTGTTGAAGGGTGGGGAAGGCCAAGGGCTCTCCAGGTCTTGGGTGGGCTCAGGCCTCGGAGCTAGCAAGTGTCTTGGGCTGCCTCCTGAGTGCTGCCAAGGCCCAGGGAGCTAACTGGCGCTGTCAGCCATGGCCTTGGGTGCCCCTGCCTTGAGTGGATGCCTGCAGAGCCCTGCTGCAGCCTGCTTGTCTGTACGAGCGCCCCTAAATGCTATGCGTGTGAAGACCCTCTAATGGCCATGGACCACCCTGCCCTGAAGCAAGCATGCAGGCAATACCCCTGTATTCCTTGACCTTGCTTATGGTCGGTAGGGGTGCTTATCCTACCCCAGTCCTCCACGGGGCCTGACGCATGCAGTGAATGCCAAAGAGGCTGCTTGTGTGCCTTCTGCCTCCACCTCGAACCGCGCTTTGGAACAAGTGTCAAATTAACTTTGGCTCTTCTGTCTACACACCCACCAGTCCAAAGGAGAAGACAGAGCCCCAGAACAGCGGAAGACAGAGCCCACTCAGCTGAAAACCAAGCGCCTGAGGGAGTACACCCTCAAATGCCACTCAAGCATGCCTCCCAACAATACCTACATCAACTTTGAGCGTTTTGCTCATGTGGTAGAGGACGTGGCTTGGGTAGAGCAGGGATGCCGTGCCCTAGCAGGGACCCATGACACTATCCAGGATGATGTGGAGGCCCTGGTCTCCATCTTCAATGAGAAGGAAGCTTGGTATCGAGAGGAGAGCGAGAGTGCCCGGCACAACCTGTCCCAGCTCAGGTACGAGTTCCGCAAGGTGGAGTCCTTCAAGAGGCTCCTGCGAGAAGACATCCAGACCACAGTGTCCGGCCTCGGGAGCATGGCCAGGAAATTGGACCACCTGCAGGTGCAGTTTGAAGCTCTGAGGCAGGAGCTCTCAGCAGACCTACAGTGGATTCAGGAACTGGTGGGCAGCTGCCAGCTGGAGAGTGGCCGCACAGGTGGCCTGGGCTCTGTGTTCCGCCCGGACGCCGGTGAGCCACTAGCGGAGCTGCACAACAGATCAGGAAGCGAAGAAGTCTTGGCCGGCTTGAAGCTCTGAGCACAGGAATCTAATCAGTAATGCCCCCTGGTTGGCATGCACAAGCGTGTTCCCAATTCCCCTGCTGGGTATTGGCTAGAATTTTCCTGCAGGGATGTAAGTCTGTAGCGTGCATAGCCTTCCACCCCCCTCACACAATCCAGAATCACAGATGTGCTGGCGAGTTATTCATTCTGCACTTCCTCTCACCAACCTGGTTTTCTGGGAGCAGGGCTGGCAGGGCAGCCAAGCTTTTAAAACAATTGAGAATAAATACCTTTCAATGTATCTTTTTTCAGAGGGAGGACGGCTGGCCCTGGGGAGATGCTCGATAACTGATTTGTCATAATGGGTTTGTGCACATTTCACTTCCCGCCTATATGCCTTAGAGATTGCTGATCTTGGGTAACATTAAGTTAACTGTGGGTAACAGTACATCAGCTTGGTGCTTTCCTGTTTCAGAAGGAGGAATTTAAAATGTACAGAGAAAATATTACTTTTCATTTGCATTGACATCACTTACCAAGCACTTATATCTTTGATCACTATGTCTTTGATCCTTGACAGAACTTTGTGAGACAGGAAGGTGGGTGGCATTATTATTGCTGTTACTATTATTTTCATGTAACTGATGAGGAAGTTGACTCAGGGGAAAATGATTTACTCAGGGTCATTCATACTTAGTTGATATACATGAAACAGAAACTCAGGATGCCTGACTCTAAGGTGAGGTGTAGAGAAGAGGTGTAAGGTGAGGGAAGAAACTGTGAGGCTTTGCTGTAAATATTCACCTTAATTTTAAAGTTCAGATCCCACGGGTCAAACAAGCAACTTCACATGTTCTGCCAAGTGTAGGTAGAATGCCTCATCCCTTCAGATGATTGTCCGGAGAACTGTGTCCTAGAGGGTGCTGTTCATGGTTCCTATCCAGCCTGTGTCTGTCTGAAGATGAGCCTGCAGAGCAGGAGGAAAGGGGCGGCATCTCAGCCTTCTCCCCCTTTCCCCGCTCTGGCTACGGGCCTCAGCCTTGTGTGGGAATGAATGCCAAAGGGGACTCGGCCAAAAGTTTCCTTTCCTTACATACTTAGGTCATTGGGCCCTAAACAGTCTGGGAAACTCCATGAGAGTTTTTGAAGAGGGTGGACATTAAGACTACGAAGCACAAGGTTCAGTGGTACCTTCTTGACCCCAAGCTTTGAGCACATGTCCCCTAGGACTGTATGATCTTATCACCTTTTCCTGGAGGAGGACCCAGTCAATGGATTCATAGAGACAGAGCCTGGAGTGTGGGCGCAGGGCTGTGCTAGAAGCTTGGGGGCGGGGAAACAGATGTATCATTTCAAAGTGTCTTAACAGACTCACAAAACACCCTTGTCAGAGAGGTAGGATAAATGTTACTTCCAATTTGGAGATGAGGAAACAGAGAGCGTGTGATTTACCCAAGGTCATAATAGTGGCAGAAGTGAAGGTCTCCTGCTAAGTCTGATGCTCTTTCTGCTTCTCCTCACTGCCCCAGGCTGCAGGAGTTCCCTCTCTGCTTCTAAGGCAGGTTTTACTCAGATTCACCCATCCATCCATTCACAAATAATTTCTGAGCACCTACCAACTGGCAGGCACTCGGCTTGGCACTGGGGATACAAAGTTAAGAGGAAACAGGCATGTTTCCTGCCTTCAGAAAGTTTGCATGCAGGTCAGTGAAGGATTCCAACATTAATCAAGAACATTCTACAAATGTAGAACTGGAGCTGGAACATATTCTAAGAAAGAGAAGTATGCGGCACTGCAGGAGCCTGCAGTGGGGGTCTGATCTAGTCAGGGAAGGCATCTGTGAGGTGGTGACGCCAGAGCCGAGATTAGCTAGGCAAACTGGAGAGAAAGAATTGTTTCCTACGGAGCCATCATGCCAGGCCTCTGTGGTGGGAGGAGAAATGAGAGGCTGAAATTAAGCAGATAGAAAGCTGGAAGGGAGAGAATAAGAGTATTGTGCAGATGTGGCTGGAGAGGACATAGGACCAGCAAGCCCCTGCCATGATAAAGAACTCTGCCTTTATCCCAAGAGTCATGGGGAGCCGTGATGGGTGCCCGGCTAGTCTTGGCCTGAGGTGCTGGGGGGAAATGCCCAGTGGGCAGCACGGATGAGAAGTGATTTAGGATAAAACCTGAGATTTTGATCCCATGAAACCATTTCTTCAAAATCTTACCTCTTTTTCTATTAGCATGCAGGATTGTTTCTAATATCATATATAATATTTGTAATAGAAACTTTTTTCATCAAATATAAGAAACCATGTTTACATCTAATATAAGACACGTCATTATTTTATGCACCAAAAGGAAGAAGAATAGAAAGCCCAAGATGGGAAGTCCAATAGGAGACCCCCACATACAAAGCTGGAACACCCTCAGAGACAAAGCCACCAAGAGAGAGGAAAACCAAGGGAACATGTATGACCCAACCTTGACACTAGGTGGCGAGGTGAAAAATCGTCCCTTGAGAACAGTGGCTCCAGGTCGGTGGTCCTCAAGCTTTCTGAATTTGCACAGTTGGTGTGACCTGAAAGAACCTCAAGCAGAGAATCTCACATCAGACAGTCCGAGGCAGGGTGGCCCCCAAGGGCTGGCAGAAGCAGCGTGAACACCTGCGTCCTCCTCAGACCGACAGTTATGATAAGATACCATTGATTGGGAGAAAAGTCCTGATTTCAGAGATCCAAAAATGTGCACCTTGGAATCAATCAATGGAAGATGGCGAAGCTGTTCCTATGCCCTGCCTGAGAGAACTGGGACAAATCGCCCACCTGCAACCTCTCCAAGAACTTACCTGCCCTGTCACAGGGTGCGACGTTTGCATATGGCATATGTCTCATTTGGCATATGACACTGTAAATATTAAAGGTCCTTTGGGCATGTCAACAGACCTTGACCTCACACAGCCAGGTTTTCTAAGGAAAGGAAGCCCCCGATTGAGCAACTCAGGGGAAGCTCTTCTGTGAACATCAAAATAAAATACAATAAAGGAGTAAGACGGTGGTGATGATTTGAATTAGGGAGGCCGGGGAGAGGGAGGGAGAATGGTTATTTTAGAATCGTGGCAGCAGCCACACACTCTCCGTGCTGGGAGGTCCTCAGAAGTGAACCACTGGCCACCCTTAATTTACGGCATTTTACAGGACAGGCCTAGTCTAAAGTCACCCAGATAGTCGGAGCCATAGGAGGTTTTCCTCACAGTAGGGCAAGTGTCTCTTCATGTTCAAGTCTGGTCACTGATAAGGATTTGTCATTTAGACACCTTATAGATAGATCCTTTTCTGTATTAAGAACTTTTAAAGACAAATCGAAGAGAACTGAGAAATGCCCCCAAGTCTTTAGAGGAAATCAGAGAAGACTGTGACCTTCCTCTGTCACCTGGCCAGTCCAACACATATCACCTTTTGGCATCAGAACCTGCTGTCCAAGGAGGCCCAGCCAGGGGGCCTGCTGAACTTCTCCTCACACGCCCACAGCTGGAATTTAACCAGCGGGGCCAAGGGCGGGGGCGGGGGGAGGCATGCTGATGGTCCTTAGTATCTGCGCCTGAGTATCGGAGTGTCCCTGGCGCCTGCACTGAGAGGGAGGAAGGCTGGGGGCACTGCTCTGCGAGCAGACCCACCCACTGCCAGGCTTTTCATTCCCCTGGCTGTTCACAAAAGGTCGGCCGCTGTGCTCTGTGCAAGTACCATCCCGGGCTGTCAGGGAGGGGAGGTTGAGTGAGTGACACCTTCCTGAATAACGGTTCCCAGGGAAGCTGGGGAGTCAGCTCCTGGGGCAGGTGCCCATGGCACAGGATTACTCCGCTTGTACCGGGAAGGGGGGTTACCGGTGATGCTGCAGGTGCAGGCGGGCCGTGAAGGGGTGGGGAGGATTAATAATGACAGCGGAAGCCAGAATCAGTCAGCCTCCTCCAGGCAACCCTCCCAGCACCGCCCACCTCCCCATGGCGATTGTGAACGGGGTGGCGTCCTGGCTCACTCCACCACACGGTACAGTCGGATCGTGTGCGAGGCAGCTTTGTGCCCAGATACCATCCCCACTGTAAATGCCTCTGGAAGCGACATTTCTCCTTTCTCCTTTGTCTGTGAAACTCTTGGCCCGCGGAGAAGACTGCCCTGGAGGAGAGACCCGGCAGTGGGCATGTCTGAGGAGCAGAAGGGGCCCGTTCAGTTGAACAAACACTGATTGTGCTCTGGCTCCGGAGAAAGGTGACAGATAAGGACAAGACAACTCCTGAAGAGAAGACTCAGTGTCTGGGACAAACGGGGAGGGGACCTAACCAATTGAGAGATGGGAAAGGCCGTGGTGGATGGTAAAATAGAGGTACCAATATTCCGGAAAACAGGAGAGAGAGGAATTCTGACTGACAGAAGTTAGGAGTGGGGGCTAAGGGCAGAAACGTTCTCAACATCCTCTGCTCCCCCACCCCCAACTATTTTTGTTATGGAAAAGCTACCAGGGGGAATTTGGAGGGATGGGGATAAACCCAGACGGGGGGCCAGGAACCTGGACTGTGAAGTGGAGTTTAAGGAGAAGGAGACGACAGATATTAAAAGGGAGAGTTTTTGTTTTTAACTTTTTGTTATGGGAAAATTTAAAATGTACACAAAAGTATCAAGAATGGTATAGAGAATTCCACGTACCAATTACCAGCTTCAACAGGGAGCAAGTTATGGCCAGTCTTCTCTCATTCATCTCCACCACTACTTTTTCTGGAGTATTTTAAAGCAAATTCAGACTAATTTAACTCATACATTCTCCAGCTTGAATCTCTCATAAGGGCTTTTCCTTTTAATATTACCACTGTGTCACTATCACACCTGAAAAAATCAGGAATAATTGCTCACTATCATCTGGATAAACATTCCGTACTCACTTGTCCCCATTTTTCTCAAGGGTGTTCTGTTATAGTTGGTTTGTTCCAATCAGGATCCAAACAGAGTCCACTCATGGCATTTGTTTGTTATGTCTCTCAAGTCTCCTGTCTTATGTAACAACAGTACAGGAGGGCAGCTTTTGAAGCTTTTCTTGGGGATAAGAAATTGCTCAGAAGACTGATGGCCCAGGAGAGTGGATTAAAAGTGTATCCGTGCTGAGAGCTGCCTCAGAAGAGTGAGAGCAGGTCAGGCAAGGAAGGGGCATTCCTGCCTCTTTCCATTATGTGTTTGATGTAGGGACAACCTGCAGGGACACATCCTTTGTGTGGCTCTCCTTCCCCTGCCTCATTTATAAGGAGGCAGAGACTCAGGCTCCAGTAAGCATCCCGAGCTCCTTTCAGGAGGTGAGGTGAAACCAGCAGGGTCCAGCCTTCAGCCAGCTAAAGGGAGAAATGGGGGGCACCTGCAGAGAAACTCCATTAAAGGAGATTGGGGAGGAGGAGGCCAGAATGACCTCCTCCCAGCGGAGGGAGAGAAGTGTACGCCCAGGTGTCCCTGGCCTTTGGTGGAGGATGGGGCTGGAGAGACGGCACAGATGGAGGTTTGAAAAGGTGCAATCTTGTTTGCAGTTTCTAGAGGAGGCCTAGTATTTTAGAGAAAATCTTCCGGAGTGCCTCTCCTGAAAAGCTAGGGTGGCTGCTGCGTCATCACCCCGCACTGTGCACGTGGGTGCTGACCCAGCATACCCCGCTGGGCTCTTTCAAAGGCATTTGCATCTGCCAAACAAGACCTGACTTCAGCCACAGCATTCTGTCTTCTTGACATTTTTCTGAGCCATCAAACATGCTCACAGGAGCCTGGTCAGAATTGCCCAGACTCTGGTATCCCGAAGGACGAAGGAAAACAGGCCGGGGAAGGTGGGCAGGGTCTGTTTGCAGAGAGGAGGGGGTGGGGGTCAGGAGAGGGCAGAGCAGAACTGCATCCCTCCTTCATATTCCCAATTCAATCAAAAGTGTTGATGCCACATTTCTTCTGGGAGCAGATTTCACTGAGGATTTACATCTCTGACTTTCAAGGCTTAGATGAGAGTGTCAGCAATTGGTTAGCCCTCCTAGCAACCAAGGAGACTCATTGATTAGGAAAGACCAAGCTGACAGATTTATCGCCCCGGGGGCCTCCTCCTTAAAGTGCATGCTGTTTTGTGTAGCAGTGTAGCCAGGACCCAAGAAGTAATTGTATCACCTCCTTTGAATGGCCTCTGGGGATGGTCCCACCTGATACACATTTTAGTTGGTCGCTGGCACTGCTGTGACCAGTTGGCAGATGGGATTCTCATTAACAAGACTCCCCTAGCCTGCAGGTTGACCTTCCAGGCATGGGGTTTAGGCATTCTCTCCAGGCAAGGGCGCCGATCACTAAGTGGATGAAAAGGGGTTCCTTTCCTCCCGGAGTCTACTGATCCTGCCTCATCAAACTCTCCAAGCGCAGTGCAGGTGTCCACTGCAAGGGGTAGGCTCAAAGGGGAATGGGAGATATTAGTGAAGTTAGAGGCAGAAATGTTTGGTGGGTTGGGGAGGCAGGAAATCACCTTGGAAAGGAGACACTGGTTTCTGGGAGGTGCAGGGGAGGGGAACTAACAAAAAATAAATGCAGAATAAAATGTCAGTGACATGCTGTGAAGAAATAGGGCACAGGCACAGTGAGTCATGCAAAGCAATTGGGGTGCTATTTTATATTGGATGGTCAAGGAAGGCCTCCCTGAGGAGGTGACATTTAAGCAAGGACCTGAACAAAGTGACAAAGTGAATATGTAAAGGAGCGAGGGCAGAGCCCTGAGACCTTGGGTTCCTGGACTAGCAAGCAGACCGGTGTGATGAGAGCCACAGCAATGGGAAGGACAGAGGGAGGAAATCAGACTGGAGGAGGACCCATATGGTCCAGGCTTTGGGGGTCTTGGTGAGCATGTTGAGTTCCATTAGGAGTGCCAGAAAGCTGCTAGACAGGCTTTGATACCAGGACCAGACAGGCTCGTCCTCTTTTGCGTCTCCCTTCCGGGTGAGACCTAGACCCAGGGCTGGGCCGGCAGGTGGGGCAGCAGCGGTGAGACGCAGTTACGGAAAGCGCTGGGAGAGCTCAGCCTGATGGCCCTCTGCTCTCTTTTCTCTTCTCGTCCCTTCTTACCCTCCCTCCTTTCCTTCTGCACTCTTTGGGCCAAACCACTGTGTTCCAGTTTGGAAGGGTGACTCGCCCCAGCTTTCTTGTCTTCTCGCACACGGCGGGTCGTGTGCACCGTCCTCTCTGGCCCCCACAGAACTCTGCTGACCCTGGGCAGAGCTGTGAGGAGTCACTGTGTTTGGACTCCTTCTCATGATGTTATGGCTGCTGACCCAGGTGCCTGTGTCTCATGGGCAGGAGTGAGCAGGTCCCAGGTCCTAGGATTTTATTCCAGTTTGTCTCTTCAGCGGCTCAAGGAAACAATTTCACCCTGCAACTATT